AGGGAAAATTATTGAAGGTCCTTTAATTTTTCTGCTGGTGAAAGTTCCCCAAGCCCTTCGGCTCATGACTCAGTGTCCTCTTTAACTTGTTTGCATAGACATGACCACTGTGAAAAACTCACGGGCAGCCCAGTTCAGGCCCAGGTACAGTGAGTCATGGAAAACAAAATGCCAGGCTGCCTACAGCTCCATTCCCTCCAGGGGATTTTCACTGAGTATCTAGGGAAAGCAGCAGTGTCATAGATAGTGTATGTGGTGAGAGAACCTGGACGTGCCTGCCGGGTACCCGTGGGCTTCATCCACTATTTATGGGGTGGGTGTTCTGGTGTGACCACAGCCTTCCCTGTAGATTCCGATCTCCGTTACACAGCCTCCCCCAGGCCTGACTTTCCATTACCGCTTTTCTGCCTGTTGTTTGTTTTTCATAGGCGAGGTGGATCATTTCTGGGGATATGGTGTCCACAGACTTACATCGAATTTTCCATTGGTATTTTTATAACCTTCCCTGAGACCAGAACAGTGTTTTTGCTAGTAGCGTTAAGGAGAGAGGGCTAGAAATTATTGCCCAAGCCACTAAGAAGGGAGAGATATGGTGAAGAACACTGAGACAATGTTTTAATTAGCATCCTCCCCAAAAGCAATTAAATCAAGAGATAATGCATATTAAACATGCATTGGCAACTTAAAGTCTTGTGATTGGGTCTCTCCACTTTCTCAGAGAAACACAGTGACTTGATAGAGGAGCACTCAATCTACTTTACTAAATGGGGATGGGCAGGGAAAATTAGAAAAAAAAAACCAGACAGGGTCTTTAATCTGAATTGTCTGGGGCTTCTGACCCACAGGTGAACAAGGACATTGTGTCGGGCTTGAAGTATGTTCAGCACACATACCGGACTGGGATGAAAGGTAAGAGTGCCCAAACTCCTCACCGGTATTCCTGCCCCAGGCTTTGAACAACCTTCGGTTATAAGCTTATGAGAGCTGGATGAAAGATATAGGCCGCTGGCACGGCCACTCTAGGCAAAGTTACACAGGTACGTCAGGTCTAGACGTTGAGACCAGCATTTAGGATGCCAGGTTCAGGTCAGGCAAACCACTGGCCTTCAGCATTCAGAATCCGGAATTCAAGTTTGTTACTCATTCATACACGGGGAGGGTCACTAAGATAAATTGAAGCAAAGGCCATAAAGTGTTTGTCGAAGGTGAAGAAGTGGAAGAAACAACCCGGTCAGTAAAGTGTTTGCATGAAGACCCAAGTTTGAGGCCTGAGAACCCCTGGAAGCAAGCAGAATGGTGGCATGCATTTGTAATCCCAGCCTGGGAAGGCAGAGACTGGGGGGCCCTGGGCATCACTAGCTGGCCAGCAGAGATTAATTGGTGAGTTCGAGACCAGTGAGAAAGCCCTGTCTCAAACAAAACAAGGCAAATATTACCTGGGAAGAACACCTGAGGTCAATTTCTGCCCTGAGTGTGCGGGCGTACATACACACACGCACTCATACGCACACCAAATATTCAAAAGCACAAACAGTCTACAGTGTAAAACCATGACAGAAAGACAAGAAAGACCTGCCCAAGGACTGTGTGTTGGGGTGAGCCTCAGGGGTTCCATTGAAAGGAGGGACAGAGAGGCGGTGTATTGGGGTGAGTATTAGGGGCACCATGGGAAAGAGAGGCAGAACGACAGTGTATTGGGTGAGCCTCAGGGGTTCCATTGAGAGAAGGGACAGAGAGGTGGTGTTTGATCTCTTAAAGAAATGGGAAAATATTTCTTTCTAGGGCGGAGAAAAAGTAGTATAATATAATATTCCCTCTGCTATTCTTCTGGACACCCCTTGGGCAGGAACGTAATCCAGACACATCCACACGCCTTCCTGACCTGTCTTCCTTTCTGCACCAGGCTTGTACACAAGATAACATAGCCTAGTCCCCCAAATCAACAGAGGAGCCAGGAGCAATTATTAATGTGATATGACTTCAGGACAGAAAAATCAGTCTATTAAATTCCAGAGACGATCAAGGACCCGAGAAACACTGACTGGCTTGCTAATACCTGGTCTCATGAAAACCCAGCTCAACTTGCTATTTCCTTTGCGCCCAGAGGCTGTGCTGAGTCACTGAGGCCAGCAGCCCATGGCAAGTGTGCAGCTGGGCCTCCAACTGCGCAGCAATTACAAGGCCAGCTGTACCCTGCCCCACAGCTACTCGCTGCCGGTTAAACTTCTCAAGTCCAGGTGTTCTGAACCCAGACCCAGCAGTCCCCTCAAGCTGGTTCTTCAAGTGACCCCTCCCATCTCATATTTGAATTCCTAAATTCTACCTAATCTGACCACCAAATGGTACAGTAACCCCCTCCAACTAAAATATCTTTAGAATGATTTCAGACAAGGGGTCCTTAAAGTCCGTTATATAGAGAAAGACAGAAGGCCCCACGTGCTGCAGAGCTGGGGAGCTCCGAGGGAGACTGAGGCCTGTCTGCCCATTTTTAGTGGTTCAGTCTGCCCTGTGTGGAGGTGTCACCCCCCTCCCCACACTGACTTAAGTTATTAATACTCTGGCTTCATCATCAGAATCGACTCTGATACTTTTTAAAAACTGGTTTTTGGTACCCACAGGTTACTAAACCTTGATCTCCATTATGGGGAATGACAAAGTAAATCACATTTTTTAAAAAGGAATTTTGGGTTTTAAAATGCTTGAATATATCTGTCTGGAGGGATTATTTGGTCATAAAGACAAGATCCTGGACACACAGCCAAACTTGGTCTTGAGTTCCTGACTCAACCTCCGTGGTTCCAGAAAGGCAATCATACATACCTGGCTTAGTTCAAAACAAAAAATGCCCCAGGGACATTGCTGTTTGGCCAGGCTTGGGCACTGTTGCTTTGGACTCACACCCGTGTAAGCTGCGCTCTCAGATTCCCCCATTTTCAGCTTGCTTTTCTGTTGCCCGAGTCTCTCACTAATGGACCGTTCTTTCCTCCTAGTGGATAAAGCCACATTCATGGTTGGCAGCTATGGGCCCCGACCCGAGGAGTATGAGTTCCTCACTCCAGTGGAGGAGGCTCCCAAGGGCATGTTGGCCCGAGGCACTTACCACAACAAGTCCTTCTTCACTGATGACGACAAGCAGGACCACCTCACCTGGGAATGGAACCTGGCCATTAAGAAGGATTGGGTAGAATGAGCGTGTCTGCCCATTCTTCCGCTACCTTCCCCGCCGGAAGGATTCTCCCAGCCGTGACAGTCATGGTCTCCCTCCTTCCTCCCTGTTCACAGCTGGATCCAGTCTATCACACACACACACACACACACACACACACACACACACACACACTCCTCATTGATGTGTTTTCTCTTACTCCATTCTTCCAGCGTGTCCCCATAGATGAGACTTAAAACCTAGGCTTTACCCCAGCGTGTTCCCTCAGACTTCCTTCCCCTCAGCAGGGCCAGAGTTCTGGGGTTCTCGGTCTCATTTAGCATCCTCCCTTTTCTTCTGATGTGAGTACTGAATGCCAGGGAACAGGCAAGCTGTCACGATGCTTTGCCTTCTGTTCAGAAGTTCATTCTTGCCACTGGGTTCTTCTGGTTCAATGATTCCGTGGGGGCTCTTCTTTTGTGGGAGACACTGTAAACAACACAAAAGGAAAAGAATAAAGTGACTGTTTGTGCGACTGAGAACCTCATTTCCCTTCCTTTTTCCCTCAAACAAATATGGTACCAGAAGGCTCGCATCCTAAGTCATCTTACAGATGGGGCATTGGTAAGATCTGCAGTATAGGGCATGGATATATCCTTGCCAACAGGTTGTTACAATATAATGGCCAGTGAGTGTAGGTAATCAGAGTGACCATTCTAAATTTCATTTATTATATAATATTTGCTTAGAGTTCTTTCATCCAAGATTGAGACACCCCACTATCTGTAGAACTCTCAGACTTGATCTGTGGGCCAGGTCAAACTCTGGCTCCTGCTTGGGATTCTTCCATGGGCTCTCAGTATCTACTGAATGAAGAAATGTCTATGCTGATTGAGTCTATTACATAAAGGCCTGTGGCAAGACGGCCTTGACAATACTCTCTTCCTTCCCGTAATTCTCAGTGACTAATGCTTGCTCACATCTAGACTTTAGTTCTTCCCGTGAGATCTCTTGTTCATATTGTCAGCTCTACAGAATCTAGAACCAGCCAGGAGAAAGGCCTCTAGGCACGTCTGCGGGAGCTTCTAGACTGTTCACTGAGGTGGGACAACTCACCCTGTCCAGGAGTAGTATCTCTCCATGTTGGGATCCTGGGCTAAATGGGACGGAGAAAGCAAGCTCAGCACCATCTCCGCTTCTGACTGTGGATGCAGCGTGACCGGCTGTCTCGTGCTCCTACCAGCACGCCTTCCTCGCTGTACCCTCAAATTGGGATAAACCAAAGCAAACCCTCCTCCTCTGAAGTTGCTTTTGCCAGCTATACTATTTTGTCTATAAAAGCCATATGTGTCCATCACACATTTTGATGTCTAGGCAACCGCATGCACACAAGGCTCTGCTTGTACTTACAGGCCGACATCCTTCATCAAGCCCTGTGTTGCCCCGATTGTTCATCATCTCTCTCACACAGGCCTCAGAATTTTCCCATGTCTCACCACTCTCTGTTTCATACTTAAATCATTGATAATTTGGGCCCACCTCTCCCATCCGCGGTGTGAGCTGGGAGACACTGGATCACCTTACAGCCTTATTTGTAGCTTCCTACTTAGATTATTAAGAGGCATAGAGTACTTATATATTTTTTTATTAAATAAATGAACTAAGCTGTCTTTCTCCTGGTTGGATACGTTCCAAAGCCCTGCCACTTTGAGTCATTTATCACAGAAGGTGAAGGTTCCCCAGGAGCCAGCTGTAAAATTCCCACAGTGCTAATAACCCACAGCCATTTCACTACACCGGGCTGTCCTGGATCGGTACCCCCAAACTCAACATCTAGGGTTGGAGCAGGAGAACAATGAGAATCTCCAGGTCCAGATGCCTAATCCTTTCATTTATCCTCATATGCCGGCTGATCCCAGAAGTCACAGTAGATGCTGAAGAAGCCTCAGGTAAAAATAAAAATACAAACCAAAAAAAGTGCGGGGGTGGGGAGGGTTGACAGTTTGGTTGCCATCAGGAAACGTGTCATGAGAAGAGAAGGGATTATGAAAATCCTCTGGGTGTTTTAATTCAAACCTAGAAACTTCTCCAGAAGTTTCTGAGTAAAGGTGTGTATTGCCTGGCATCTCTACCCGTCCTACTGCAGATGGTCTCAGCAAGACCCGGGAACCCATATGGCTCACAGATATCCCAGCTACCGAAAAACTCATCAATGCTGCTGAAGTCGCCGTCATAGGCTTCTTCCAGGTTTGTGGAAACAAACATTCTACTTGCTACACCCTATGGTCAGGCATATTCTGCCTTAGGGTAGCCGCTAGAGTGATCTGCTGGGTTAGGGACACTGATCCGGAAGCAAGAACTCTCAGACCCTGCTGCAGCCTCTTATCTGAGACCCCCTCATTTCAAAGCAGTCCGCGCTATGATCAGGTCTTCCTCGGACCTGCCTTGGGATCTCTAAGTTTCCTGACTGGGTCTCCTTATCTATGGGCACTTTGAAATGAAGTGGTGTCTGCAGGAAGTGAGCCTCTGTCATCCCTGGCCGCTGTCCTAAACAGCCTCAAACCGTACCTAGGTGTCCCACCAATAGGCAGAAGTGAACGCACATGCACTTTTAAATTTATGTTCTGTGATGTATTTGAGATAAGGTCTCATAACTCAGGCTGGCCTAGAACTCTCTATGTAGCCACTGCTTCCCTCAAACCCACAATCCTCCTGCCTCAGCCTTCTGAATAGTGACGTAATATGAATATGCTATAATGGGACTAGCCGGAAAGATAGGCTAAATCTATCTCCTGTGACCTGGAAACACTTCTCACAGGCTTTGCTAAACCAAATAGACAGATCCTCAGTAATGTTTCTTGCCCTCTTTGAATACAAAGGAAAGTGAAGGGGTCACTCACGTATTGGCTGTTGGGTAATGCAGACAGCCTTAAACAAGAGGGGCTCACTCTAGCCTTTCCTTCTCTCTCCGCTGATAGCACCTGGCAATCCTCAGAGATAACCCAGCCCTATTCTCTTACCTCAGACCTTGTATATGTTCATTCCTTGATTCCAATTCACAGTCACCATGCCCATTAGGTGTACAAAACTAGAAAGAACCACAAAAAATAGAGAACAGGAAGAATGAAGTAACATAAATAGCCACCAGATGGCGCCATTGGGTTCTTGAGAAATTCTAAAGTTTAGAAACCAGAGAGCCAGTCAACAAAGTTCCACAGCTTCTAAATGAACAACCCATTTCCTTTCAAAAGAGCAACTTGTCAACTCCATCTCGTTGATCCCAGATGCAAGACTAGCAATCTTCCCTTCTCTTTACACACACCCCTAAGCTCAGTGAGGTGCAGGGAAAATGTGGCATACCCTAGAGCGTCTGCAGACGAGCATCCTAACACTGCCCGGAAGACAGTGCCAGTGTCTGGGGAGGACAGCCGCCATCACTGATGAGTGGCTTCCCGGCTCCCTAACTGCAGGCCTGGGATGCCATAGGTGTGTGGACCAGTGAGTACCTTCATGCACAAACTGAAGGACCCTTGAGAGAAGAGGACCTCAGTCCCCCGCACGTTCCCAGTGACCGTGCTAAGCACCTGTTTCTTAATTTTGCATCTTCCTGTTCCTCCACAAACTGTTCCCAAAACATTTACCTCCCTAGGTATATGAGTGGCTGTGTAGCCCAACTTCACAGACCTCTGGACGCCAAGTCCTCCATGAACTACAAGTAGAATTCAGGCTGCATGATAAGGCGGCACAAAAACCCAGGATTAGACACAGTTTTCATAATGACCTATAAAACTCACACAGCCGGGGAAACTAAAAAATACTACTGCAAGTATTACCGACATGTGTAAGAGTGACTTTGGCTTTACTAGACCAAATCAAGCCTGCAATTTCTGGCGTGTGCATATTTTTCTTCCACGTCTCTTCTCTCAAAAAAGACCTATGGGTCTCTCTCTCTCTCTCTCTCTCTCTCTCTCTCTCTCGTTGTATGTTTGTTTTGCTGTAGGATTTAGAAGCACCGATAGTGTCCATATTCAGCAGCATGGCACAACAGTTCCAAGACGTATCGTTCGGAATGAGCAACAGCTCTGAGGTTCTGAGCCACTACAACGTCACCAGAAACAGCATCTGCCTCTTCCGAATGGTAAGCTGGGTGGCAGCTCCAGCCCTCTCCTGGTTTCCGCTTGTGAGGCGGGACAGAATTCTGTGTCTTTAACACTGTTGCTGGTGTCAAATTCAGGACCTTAGCTGACAAGGCTAGTGACTCAGATGACTCCAGAGGCCAAGTGCTGGGCTGAGGGGCACAGAGGATGGGAAGGCAGAGCCAGGTGTGAGAGTAATAAACCTGCGAGGTCCCTTACCAGGCAGAGAGGGTGAGCGAGCCTCTTAGCGTTTGTTAATTTCAGTTCTTACTTCTATAAAAATAAAAGGTCTGACCATATTATCTCTAAGGTCATACTAAACACTGAAGTTACACACATTCACACAAGCACCTGCACACACACACAGAGAGAGAGAGAGAGAGAGAGAGAGAGAGAGAGAGAGAGAGAGAGAGATGGGGGCGAGGCAGAGAGAGAAATAATACAGGAGTTTTATGCTCTATAAATACATGTGTGTCTGAGTGTGAGTGCGTGTGGCAAGTTTTCACGTAGCTCAGGACGGCCACCGATACATAGATGATAATTATCTTGACCTTCTGACCCTCCACTTTGCAGATGCTGAGGTTACAGGTGTGTGCTATCATTCCCTATTTATGTCACACAGGGGAAACAAACCCAGAACTTCATGTGTACTGGGCAAACACACTACCAACTGAGCCACACACCAAGCCCCGCGATCTTACATGTTGAAAAGCTGACCTATGTTCAGCAAACGTTTCATTAGACAACTCGTGTGTAAGGTACTGATAATAACAACATATCGAATATACACTTTGTTCTCAGAACTTAAAATGTAGGAAAAACTATAACAAATAGACTAATAGAAAAACCACTCTAAAGCTAGGTCATGTGGAGCTCACCCTTTATTCCAGCACTTGGGAAGCAGAGGCAAGCAGGTATCTGTGAGTTAGAGGCTAGCCTGGTCTACAGAGTGAGTTCCAGGACAGCCAGAGCTACACAATGAAACTCTGTCTCAAAAAAGAAAAAAAAAATTAGAAGAAAACACTGTAAGTGGTTTTAGGAGAATGAAAATAATATGGAAATTCAGAAAAATAATAGAAAAGAGACAATCGACAGGGAAGTATATGTTAAAGCTGGGCACTGGAGCAGAGAAACGTGGAAAGAGGAAAACTGAAGGTAGTCAGGAATCCATGATGCCAGCTTGACTGGATCCCAAGGTACGAGTTACAGAAAAAAGAAAATACGACAGGGAAGTTTTATTAGACCATGTTTGTGCTAAAGCCACAGTGCCAGAGTTCTGTGTTTGTACTTAATTTGATTGGCACCAGAAAGCTCCCCCAAAGCCTTTGGATCGGGAGAGTAGCGTGGACAGAAAGGAGATTTAGCAGGATTATTTTGGAAACAAAGACTAAGATGGATTGTTAGGCAGAGATGTGAGAAGCAAGAGCTCTTGGTAGCTCAACAAAATAGACTATGTGAGACTTAAGAGTCTGTGGGGGACGGAGAGTGCCAGAGCGGGGACGGAGAGGTGCCAGAGCTTAAGAGCACTGGATGCTCTTGCAGAGGGCTGGGGTTTGATTGCCAGCATCCATGTGGCAGATCTCAGCTCCAGTTCCAGGGGCTCTGACTCCTTCTTCCCTCGTCAGACCCCAGGCACACATGTGGCACACATACATGTAGGCAAAATAACCATATAAGTATGTTTTAAAGAGACAGAAAGGGCCTGCTGTTGAGGAGTCGTGGCAGAGAACCCGATTTTGTGTTACACCCTCGGTACAGTTCGCTCGCCACTGTACATACGCGAGCCTGTACAAGGCAAGGGCCTGGAGATTGAAAGAACACACAAAGAGACCTGGGTCATTCGAAAGGAGATCAGCCGAATGCCATTTATTCAACCTTGGGGAAATCCTTATGTACCTAGCTACTGTATAAGGATTTCCGCCCAGGCAGGTGGGAAATTACCATACCAACGCTGGAGTCAATGCCCTACAGCTAATCACCAGGCGGGGCAGGGGGAGCACAGGAACAAACAGGATGCTTAGTTAGCTGACCAGAAACTGTCCTCAAGATGCACCCCAGGAACAAGGGTAGACCCGGGCCCTGCATCCCAGCACTCAGGAGTCTCAGGCAGGAGGACCAGGAGTTCAAAGCCAGTCCCAAAGGAGGCACTAAGCAGACCTGACAGTAGCGTGAACTCTGCTTACAATGTATTCCTTATGAAGCCCTGTTGGTGGCTCTCCTAGGACCTTAGCCTCTGTTTTATGTTGAGCACTAGTGACAGCTCTCCTCCGAGCAAGGCTTGGGACTTGGGTGGACAAAATTTTTGTGCCGTGCCAGAAAGCAAACAGGCTGGTTTTCTGCTGCTTCACTAGCAGTTCTGGGAAAGGTGGGAGACTTCTCAGGCCAGCTGTTGCGTAAACACTTTTCTCGGTTTACATTTTCAAACTTTGGTACATATCTTAATAGGAGTATTGTTCAGGAGTTCAGAATAACTTTAATAAAGAAAAAACTGAGATCTTTTTATTTTATACTGGGAAACATGAGCCTATGCCAAACTTTCTGGGACCTTCTTCCAACCCAGATCCACATTTTATTATTTGCAGCTTTTCCAAACTTGGTTTATTTTTATGCGTGTGTGTCTGTGTGTCTGTCTGTCCATCTGCCTATATGTGTCTCTGTGTGTAGAACTGTGTCTATGATAGGCACTATTATAATCTCACAAACTATGAAGAAAAGAATATTATTCCTGCCAGGCAGTGGTGGGCACATGCATTCAATCCCAGCACTCAAGAGACAGAGGCAGATGGCTCTCTGGGACTTAGAGGCCAGCCTGGTCTACAGAGCAAGTTCTGAGGCAGCCAGAACTGTCACATAGAGAACCCATGTCTCAAAAAATCCAATAAAGCAAAAAGAGAAAAGAAGAGAATGTTATTCCTGAATTTCCAGTAAGAAAATTAAAGTTCTAGCAGATTCAAGCAGCTCTCCTAAGGTTCACAAGTGTAAAATGCTGCCCAATTCCATGCTCAGTCCCCCCTTTCTACTGCACTATAGTAGTTCTCTAAGGCACGCAAAAAAAATTCTTTTTAAAACTAATTTAATGATTCTTCTACATTTACACACGCATCTCTGTGTGTCTGTGTACCTGTATGTATTTGTATGCTTTTGGGGTGCAGCAGAGGCCAGAAGATGGTGTGGGATCTGCTGGAGCTGGAGGTAGAGCTAGTTATGAACCACCTGAATTGGGTGCTGAGATCTGAATTCGGGTTCTCTACAGGAGTCCCACGTGTTCTTAATGACTGGGCCATTTCTCCAGCCCCCAGAGAAAATCTCTATCATTTTTATACTATTGTATTTATTTAATGTTTCTTATTCTGAAGTCTACATTTCAAAAACTTTACCCCAAACCATTTCCCGAAGCCTTTGGTATTAATTAATCAAACACCATGATTACAGCTCCGAATCTAGATACTATAGAGTTTGGTAGTGAAAGGTCAGAATTTAGGGTTACTTTATTTCCAACAGTAAGAATATATTTAAAGATAAGATGAAATGATAATTAAGTACAAATACACTGACTCATTATTATTGAAGCAACAAAAACTATGTGGATCGCCAGGGTTTCTATTGCTGTGATGAAACATTATTACCAAAAATAACTTGGGGGGGTTGTTTGTTCTTACAATTCCGACGTTACCCTCTATCACTGAGAGAAGTCAGGGTAGGCTGAAGGAAGGCAGGAACCCAGAGGCAGGAGCTGAAGCAGAGGCCATGGAGGGGTGCTGCTTATTGGCTTGCTTCCCATGGCCTGCTTAGCCTGTTTCTTATATAACTTAGCCCGCCAGTCTGAGGGAGGCACCTAACAGTGGGTTAGGCCCTCTGTTCAACCGTTAATCAAGAAAATGCCCATCAGTCTTGCCTATCGTCCAGTCTGAAGGAGCCGTCTTTCCAACTGGCTCTAGCCTGAGTCAAGTGGACAGAAAGTAAGTCACTCTTCAACTGTGGCCTTGGCTTCTTGTCCACCCTCAAAATCTCATATTAATATCACAACAGAAAGCATAAATAACCTGAAAAGTCCCAGTCTTTAAAATTTCAAAAACTTCCAAAGTTTAGTCTCTTTAAAATATCCAAAGTCTCTTAAAGAGTTAAAAATCCCTCTAAAATAACCAGAGTCCCGTGAATACTCCAAAGTCTATGGCCTCGTGTAATAATAATAATTTTAAAAGTTAAATATTTTCTTACTCCAAGAGGTAAGAACCAGGGCACAGCCACAATCGAATCAAAGCAAAATCAAACTTCGGCAATATCGGTAGCTTGCTGCCCAGTGTCAGGGACTCCCTGTCTTCTGGCCTCCAGAGGTCTTGGGAAGCTCCAGTTGGCCCAGGCTCTGTCAGTCACAGCACACATGGCTTGTCTGGGAGGCTCAACCTGGCTCCACGCCCCACCTGCCACTGTACTTGGTGGTCGTCACACAGTCCTGGCATATATATGCTGGGGTCTCCAGTGCAGCTGGGGGGCATCATCACAAATGACCTCTGTGGTGGTTTGAATAGAAATGCCCCCACAGGTCCATAGGGAGTGACACTATTAGGGATTGTGTCCTTCTTGGAGGAATCTCACTGGATGCAGGCTTTGAAATCTCAGATGCTCAACCTGCACCCAGGGTGGCTTTCTCTTCCTGCTGCCTGCTTATCTGAATGTAGAAATCTCAGGTCCTTCTCCAGCACATTTCTGCCTGCACACCACTATGCTTCCTGTCATGATGATTAATGCACGAAACAATCCCACAGCAGTTAGGATTTAAAGGGGTATTTATTTTGGGGGGTAAAACTCACAAAGCACCAACTGTCAGGAAAGGAGCCTAGTCGCAGGAGCAGGAGCAGGAACCAACCTCTGGAACCAAGAGAGCGGGCCGAGGCTTGCCGCTCTTTTTTAAAGATAAATAGACCACACCCCAGTGGGCTGGTATTTCAGCAGCTATTGGCTGAAGGAGTGGAAGGTCCTCCTGCAGCAGATGATAAAGAACTAAACCTCTAAAACTGTAAGCCAGCCCCAATTAAATGTTTTCCTTTACAAGAGTTGTATGGTCCTGGGATCTCTTCCCAGCAATAGAAACCATACCTACTCAGCCTCTACTGGTCTCTCTTCAAGGACTTTAGCCTTGTCCCACATTGCCAAGTCCTGGTGTTCTCCATGAACCCTTCACACTGCCAAAGCCAGTAACATGTGGAAGAGTTTTATATGCTACTGAGTTCAGCAGCCAACATGAGATTCCGTCTTGGCCCCTCCCAACCATAGCTTCTGTGTGATGTGAAACACACCCTTGAGGAAGGGCTTCTGGAAGATTTCACCTCAGTGATGCTGGGCTCTTCTTGGTCACAGCTGATTCTCCAGCCGCAGCTGAGCAGATGTGCATATTCTCAATTTAAAATATCATGTTAACAGCCGCTCTAGAATCCTTGAAGAGCTTCCCAAGCCAGGCTCTAACATCTGCATCGCTCTCAATATTCTCTTCCTACCCCCACCCCATCCCCACAAAATAACTTAAGCTCTGAACTCTTGGCTTTCCCATCCCAAAGTTCCAAAATTCCTTTACAGTCCTCCCCATCAGAACGATGTTATATCTGTCACAGCAATAGTCCACTGGGGCACCACTATCTGTCTTAGAGGTTCTGTGACTGTGATAAAGACCGTTACCGAGCACAGTCTGGGGGAGGAAAGTATCTGTTTGGTTTAAGTCACAGTTCAAGGCAGGAACTTAAGGTGGGAACCAGAAACAGAGACCAGCTAGAGCAAGCCAGCCAGCAGCAATCCTCCATAGTCTCTGATTCAGTTCCTGCCTCCAGGTTCCTGTCTTGACTTCCCTTGATGAGAGACTGTCAACCTGGAAACCAAATAAACCCTTTCCTTTCCACATTGCTTTTGGCCTTGGTCTTCACCACAGCAATAGAAAGTAAAGTGAGATTGGGCACTTGCTCTTCAAAACTAGAGCAGGCTGACTTGTAGGAAGGTTCCCAGGAAGCATTTCGGCAAAATTCAGGGAACAATAAGAAGTCGCATATGACAGTGCGGCTCTCAAGGACTCAGGTTGTCTGATAGAGTGACAGCAAGGAGACCCTCTGTCTCTGTATAGACCTATACGGAGTTAATCCTCCCAGGGATCCTGTCTCTGGAGTTGATAAGCCATGAGCGTGCCCTAATATTTGAATGTTTGCACTACTTTGGATTTTCTTATTCACTTCTATTTTAACGTAAGGTGGATATTCTTGTCATTTTACATTGTTTCTTACTGAAATTTTATATATAAATTATGTTTCCCTAAAAAAAAAAAGAAATAAAGTTAGCCCAAGTTTGACCCAATGGAATATAAGAGAAACACAGTAAGTCTTTCTTGACGCTTGTACAGTCATTTTCGAATGTTTAGTGTGAGATGTACCTTACCAGACATGGGAAGTCAGAAGAAATGACTGTAAAAAATAAACCAGTAAATGAGAGAAGTAGTATGTGTCAAATCGTCAAAACAGTTTTGTAATGTATGTGTGTAGCGGGGCGTGGAGGTGCACACCTATAATCCCGCCCCTTAGGAGACTGACAGGAGGAACCATCCTTGGCTACACAGCAAAGTTAAAACCATTCTGGGCTATAGGAGACAATAAGAAACAAAACTCTGTGTGTGTGTGTGTGTGTGTGTGTGTGTGTGTGTGTGTGTGTAAAAATGGCAACTGAATAGTGCATATACTATATATATATATATGCATATATAAAATTAGAGACATGAAGGAATTGATTAAAAAATCATTTCTCAGTGCTACTTAAGTTACTTTATGACTGAACTGTGATAAAATACTATACCTGTAGTATAAGCTAAGATGAACAGGGCATGGTGGCACATGCCTGTAATTCTAATACTACAAGAAGTGAAGCAGGGAGTCAGGAGTTCAGACTCATCTTTGGCAACAAAGAAAACCAGTAATGAGCCTCACTTCCTGTCTAAAATAAATAAATAAAAATAAAACTAGGAAGAGCATAAATAACTAAGGCGAGTTTTAATGCAGTTTTCGAAACGATCGTTAGAGCACTCACAGGAATGCGGGCACCCTCAGAGCAAAGGCTAGACCGTGCTGGGGTCGCTGCATGCTCAAAGTGTCCAAAACAAAACAAAACAAAAAATTAGTCACCGGAGCTCAGAGCCCTTCCAGATGCTCTTTTCTGCTTTTGGCATCTCTCTCTCTGGGGAGGATATCTTCCAAACACTAGCAAAATAGAGGTTTAAAAACGTTCCCACAGTCTTGCTCTACGATAGAGCTTTCTCTCCAGTGCATTATGTAAATGGTCCCTTTGGCTGACAGCAGACTTCCTGTTCTAGTGTCGCCTCCAGGATCCCTACACACGAATGAAAGAACGAATACTCCTGAGTTTATTAGTTTAGGAAATAATGAAATAGTCGGGATGTTTCTGTGGACGATCTAGGGAGCCTGCAAGGGACGTGGTGGTTTAGGGCAGCACTGTCACTGCCCAGGATAGGAACTGTATCCCTACTGCGCACCCTCTGTCCCTCCTCGGCATTCCTGAGCCCAGAAATCCACCTGGAGTTCTTGGCGCCTCCAGTTCTCCAATTCTGGGAAACCTGAGGAACTGCCTGGAACCCGGGCTGGAGGGCAGCCCTGGCCCACGTGCAGCTGGGCCAGCTGCACACAGGAGCCAGGCCTCTGTGTCCTAGAAAAATAATCTTCAAGCATTTGGACGAATTCAGTATTAAGTGGGCTTTGATTATGATGATGAGGATCTGAGTGGTTGCAATAGCAAATTCCTAAGTGTGAAATATCCTGCCAGCTGGCCAGCCCCGCCACAGGCAGCAGAGAAGATTGAAGAGAACAGCGCTCTCTCTCTCTCTTGTTCTCTCTCTCTCTCTCTCTGTTCTTCCCTCCCCCTCGTGTGTGTGTGTCTGTCTGTCTGTCTCTGTGAATATGCCCCTGTGTCTGTGTCTTCGTCTGTGTCTGTGTGTTGATACGTACCCCCACGAGAATGGGTGCTGGCAGAGACCAGAGGGCCCCAAACCCCTGTAGTTATAAACTACTGGGGGTCACCCAACCTAGGGTACTGAGAACTTAATTCAGACCCTCTGAAAGAGCATCAAGTTCACTTAGCCACTCTATAACCCCCTGGTTTAGTTTTGTTTACTTGAGACAAGGTCTTGTTCTATTGCCCAGCAGGGCCTGGAACTTCCCATGTAGCGCGGACTGCCTTGGACTCCTGGTAATCCTCTGCCTGGTCCTCCTAAGTGCTGGGATTGAAGACGGACCACCACAACCGCCTGCTCCTTATTCTTTAGTGGTTTGACAAGAATATTGGGAGTAAAAAGCTGAACAAAGTCCACGGAAACTCTACATCCGTACATCTTCTCCTCAGTGTTCCTACTGAGCGTTTGGACTTTAAAAGAATTGCGTGTAGCAGGCGTCTTCACCCTCTTCTCACCCACTTCAGACTCTGTGCAGCAGAGGCACCTCGAGTTTCTGGTCCTCCGGCCTTTCCTTCCAGAATGCTGGGATTACAGGAATCAACATGTCTATTTCATGTAGCGCCGGAGATGAGACCTAGGGCTTCCTGTAAGCTGGGCAAGCCTTCTGCCAGCTGGTCTACACCTCTCCAGTCCCATGTCTGTGTGCTTGTTATTGAGAATTGAACCTAGGAACTCACACACAGTAAGCAAGCAAGCACTCTACCACTGGCCTATATTGATGCTAGTACTTCACATTTTAAAACATCCAGTGCTTTGAGTGGGTTTTGCTCCCCCCAACAAGATTCTAATTTAAAAGTACATTTTCTATACATTGGCATTTATTATTTCATGTTTAATTGGTTTAAGATAATCTAAGGTTTTTTTTTCAGTATTTTTATCTTTGTGTGTATGTTGCAAGGTTCAATAGGGAGTTCTAACTGTCAACTAATAGTAGGTTCTGGTAACAAAAGCTATGTGTCACATAATGGCAGTCTTCAAAGGGATAAATAAAGCTTGAGCAACTCCCCAACCAAAGGATGAAAAAAGGAATAATGGGAAGTAACTAAATGAAAAATAAACCAGAGGTTAAGAAAATGGAATTCAGAACAGCTGCACTGATGGAAAATGCGTAATTCAATATATCAGTGATTATATTACATTTTTTAAAAAGCTCTTAAAAGACAAGTAGGGAAAAGTGTCAACGAGGGTAGAAAACTTCCGTCCTGTCTTTGGAGCTGTGCTCCATGCCCATTATATAGTCAAATTCCGTTTACCAATAATCTCTAAAGATGCTGCAGGGACCACTCGGTCCTTTATTGTGCCTTGTTTCCTTTCCCCAGGTTGATAATGAGAAACTGCATTTGGATGCTAAAGACATTGACAGCTTAGACGCCGCCAAGTTGAAGCAATTCATTTACGTGCATGGCCTCCACTGGGTGACAGAGTACAGTCCTCTGGTAAACACTGATTCCCTATGACCAGTCCTTTCTGTTCCTGTGTCACAGAGGGTCCTGGTCCCCACAGGAGATGTGTTCTCTCCACTGTTAGTGTCCGTCACCGAACACCTCGCGTGCTGTTTGTGTTGACACCCTTATTAACCCTTCAAGATTGATAGATGCGTCCTTCCTTATTTGACAAAACTAGATGACCTTCAACACAACTCATAAGATAAAAAAGCCTAGAGTGCAAAGTAAAGGTATCTGGATCAAAATTTTCAGAATCTGAAGTCTTGTGTGAGTGTGCTCTGTGAAGGTCACTGGCGCTAAATCACCTGTCTCAAGCTATGACCAAGACTGTTTTTATTCATTGATTTTCTTGTTGCTGCTACAAAGGCAGCCTAGGGAGGGAAGGCTTTATTTTGGCTCACAGTTTGAGGGGACACAGTTCATCGTGGTGAGAAGGTGTGCAGGTAGGAACGTGAAATAGCTGGTCACAGTGCATCCATAGCCAAGAAACATAGAGATGGATACTGGTCTTCAGATCACTTTCTCCATGTTTATTTTGTTGTTGTTGTTTTGTTTTGTTTTATTCTAGCCAGGACTGAAGTCCATTGGTTGTTCTACCCACCTTCATGGTGGCTCTTCTCTCCTCAAGCCCCTCTGGAAACACCCTCACAGACATGACCAGAGTGTGTCTCCTAGGTGACTCTAAATCCAATCTAGAAGCGGCTTAAGAGTGGCCATCATAGCTTTCTTTACCTAGAGATTCACTCCTGTCTCTGCTGTGCCCACAGAACTGCATGTGGACTCAGAAAAGATGGCCCAATGCTTCCGGTGCACATGACCATGGTGTAATAGTGTCCTAGATGCAGGGCAAGGACACAAATCCCTGAGTTCTTAGGTCTGGCCCAGCGCTCACCTTACAGATTAACTTTGTGTCTTTCTCAAATTTCACATTATTAGGGACAACCAATCCCATCAAGAGAAAGTCAGGAAAGAATCTCTTTAGAGAAGCATGCTTAATTTTTATTAGGACTTTCACATCTCAGAAGTAATCCCTTCTTGTTTGGAGCTGCCCCCTCGACTGCTGCTAGTTTTTGTTCAGGCTGGTATGAATATTTGTCCTAGAAAGACTGGGCAGAAAGTCACAGCCATGCTCTGCTCCTGCACGTACACCCAATGCACACACTCTGTGTGCCTTTGCTGTGCAAATCAGGCCGTGCCTGTTGAGATGAAACCAGCTACTTCCGTGCTCCCATCCCTTCGGTAAAGAGAGCTCTGTCTTCTGACTCCTTAGCTCTCGTCTCTCGACTCTTCCCAGGAGTTTTTCTGCTTTACAAAAGCAGATGCCACCCTGAATTGAAGTATCATGAATCTGTTACTCTAACTACCAAGACTATTATAGCAAGAATCAATTATTGTCCATCCTGTGTCCCGAATGTAAGCTGAACCCATTGATAAGGTCCAAGACAAAGTCTGTAGGAATACTTCATCTGACCACATTGCCTTGCCGGTGGTTCCTCTGTGGCCAGCTGCAATAGAAAAGCTCACCCTGATCCTAGGGGTCAGCCAGTGGGCAAGGAGTGGCTGGATGTCTCTGGAGAGATTGCAGGCCTTTACTAAGGTGATGTCATCTGCAGGCTTCACCAGGGCTGAAGCAGCTGGTTGAAAGAAGGTTCACTAGTGTGGCCAGCAACCTGTTCCTGCTGTTGCCATGTAAATCCATCCTTAGGGCTGCTGTTGCTATGCAAATCCATCCTTAGGGTTCCCTGACAGCTCCTTACTGGGCTGGCTGCCCCCAGAGTGAAGGGTGTAACAAAGAGCTATGCATTTTATGGCTTAATCTTGTACTTTCTGTCAAGCCCACAACTGTCCTTTCAGTTACTCAGTTTCATTATGTTTAGTGAGGGGTAGGGGATCGACACAGTTGTCTGAAGACCGGATGGTTGTATTTAGTTTTAAGATTCATTTTTATTGTTTTTAACTATGTGCATGTTGTTTGTCTGCGTGTGCACCGTATGCATGCCGGTCTCTTGCAGGAGCCAGAAGAGGGTGTCAAATCCCCTGAAGCTGCAATTAAAGCCAGTTGTGAGCCACCCAGCTTGGGTGCTGAAAGGAGAGCCAGGTCCTGTGCAAGGATAGTACATGACCTCAACCCCTAAACTGTCTCTCCGGCTCCAAGATAATTGTACTTTTTTAAAAAAGATATTTATTTTATGTATATGCATATGCACCTGAGTAAATAAATATATGTGCACCACATGTGTGCATGAGCCAGAGAGTGCCAGAGGAGGGTATCAGATCCCCTGGAGCTGGAGATACAGGCAGCTGTCAGCAGGCACCATACAGATGTTGGAAACCAAGCCAATGTCCTCTACAACAAGGGTTGATGTGCTCTTAACCCCTGAGCCATCTCTCTAATAGCCTGGTGATTTTACTTGTTAAAAATATTTTTATTTATTTTTTGATAATTCTATACATGTATAAATGCATTTTTACCACATTCAAGGGGGTCAAACTTGTAAGAGCCATCGTAGAGGTTATTTGCATTTATTCTGTTCACTGCATTGGCATATCTATGTATCTCTGTCCCTCTGTCTCTCTACCTCTCTGTCTCTTTGTATCTCTGTCCCTCTGTCTTTCTGTATCTCTATATATCTCTGTGTCTCTGTCTGTCTGTGTCTCTCTCTGCCTCCTTGTATCTCTGTCCGACTCTCTGTATCTCTGTCCCTCTGTATCTCTGAATCTCTGTGTCTCTGTCCCTCCACGTCTCTGTCTCTCCCTCCCTTCTTCCCTCCCATCCTCCCTTCTTCTTTGTCCCTCTTTGTATCCTTTTTCTAAAACACATTTTAATTTCCCAGATTGCAGCTGGCTTATTTAACGCCATGGTTCGGACCCATCTGCTCCTGATAATGAACAAGGCTTCCGCAGAGTATGAAGACAGCATGCAGACATACCGGAAGGCAGCTAAGCTCTTCCAGGGAAAGGTGAGTTGGGAAAGGTCACCACCACAGGAAGATGGGGCTGGGGAGAAGAAAAAAAGGATAAGAAGAAAGGAGTGGGAGGCAAGAAGTGAAGATTTTGGAAATTAAAGAGACTTTATATTGTCATTGTGGGAGACAGTAAGTATAAATATGCAGAAACCACATCACCTAGTCGGTGTCTGTTTCCTCATGATAACCTCTGAAGGCCGGGACAGAGAGCTGAAACCACTTCTCACGTGAGTTCCTACACAGCACCTGGAGCCTACCTCAAGTGACCACGATCCTTTCTCTCCCTCCCCGCTCCTAGGTGTATTTCTCTGAAACCACCACCCCCATCTACCCCTGCATCGCAGACCCCAACTAGAGGCCTTTCTAACGAGAGCCACCACATAAGCTGTCTTGGGGAGCACTGGTCCCCTGGTGTGGGGAGCACTAAGTACTCCTGAATACTCAGAAGAGCACAAGGATTTCCACCGTGGCTAGACGTGGCTTAGTAACCACGCCTCCACTCAGCTCCCCTGCTCATCTGGGGTTTCCTTCTCTGCATTTCAGTTACCCAGTCAACCGTGGGCTCAGAGTAGTAAATGGAGAATTCCAGAAGCAAGCAGCCCATGTGCTAACAGGGCTTTCACTGTCATGTGTTTTTACAATGGTTTGGTTTTGTTATTAGCTATTATATTCAAAGTGTGCACATATAGCAAGGAAGAGCACTATCCATGACTCTGGGGAGCCGCCGGAGTGCGGGTTCTTAGAATATGTCTAGAAAATAACATTCACCAAAGGCATACTATGTGCCACAATTACTGAAGGCACCATCCCGTTTCATCTCTGCCCCCACCAGTACATTTTACAAATATGAAAACTGAGTCTCAGAGAAACTAAGTTGCAAAAAAAAGCTAGGAAGACAGAAGCAAACTTAACCCCATCCTCTGCCTTCAGACACCAAGCTAGACTTTCTTGCTTAGGGAGTCATCAATCTTCAAAGACAGAAGACTTTTTTAAAGATTGTTTTTATTTTTAATCAGGAGGTGGGGAGTAAAGATGCCCAGAAAGACTGTAAGAGAGTTTTGAATCTCCTGAAGCTAGAGTTACAAGGGGTTGTCAACTACCTGGTGTATTCTTAACCTCCGAGGCATCTCTTCAACCCCAAATTCCAATTTTTATTTTTTTTGTTTTTTGTTTATTTGGTTTGGTTTGGTCTTAGTTTGCTTTACTTGGTTTCTCTAGATAGGGTTTCTCTGTACAGCCCTGGCTGTCCTGAATCTGGCTTTGTAGACCAGGCTAGCCTCAAACTCACAGAGAACCATCTGTTTCTACCTCTCAAGTGCTGGGATTAAAGGCACGAGCCACCATGCCCAGCCAAAAATGTGTAGCCCAGGCTGGCCTTGAACTCACGATCCTCCTGTGTTCTCCTCCTCCTTCAGCAAATCCTACCAGCCACCACAGCTGGCCAAAATTCTTGTAGTTAAATTCAACTAAAGGATAAATTTAATTAAAGTGAAATTTGAATAAAATACCAAAACAACAAAAATAATTTTCAAAATCATTTCATTTTAATCAAAATGTGTTTATATGAGAGGGGGTGGGATGGATCTTATATAGCTAAGGCTAACCTCAAACTTGCTGACTTGTTATAATTAAATGTGACTTTGAACTCCTGGTCCTCCTACCTCTGCCTCTCTGTTGACTGATGTTTCTGTCCTTCCTGATCCGGCAACTGTTCAGTCCCAAATCAATACACAGAGGCCTACATTAATTATAAACTGGTTGGCCTATTAGCTCAGGCTTCTTATTAACTCTTATAACAACTTATATTAGCCCAAAATTCTTGTCTGTGTTAGCCACATGGCAAGGCAGTCACATCTTGCTTCTTCTGTGTCTGACTTCCTCTGTGTCTGGATGACGACTGTAGACTGACTCTTTCCTCTTCCCAGAATCTCCTGTTCTGGTTGCCCCACTTCTACTTCCTGCCTGGTCACCCCACCTCTACTTCCTGCCTGGCTACTGGCCAATCAGCATTTTATTAAAATACAAGTGACAGGATACAGACCATTTTCCCACAGCACCTCTCAAGTGCTAGAATTTCAAGTGTGCGCCATCATGCCAGGCTTTAATTTAGACTAAAATCATATAATGCAAACCCTAATTTCAGTCTGTGTAGTGACAGCCATTACTAGTGTCTCATTGTCCCCAGGCTGTCAGCAGGACCTTTTTCTTGAATGTCTTCCCAACTACAGGTTCTCTTCGTTCTGGTAGACAGCGGCAAAAGGGAGAATGGAAAGGCGATATCCTACTTCCAACTAAAGGAGTCTCAGCTGCCCGCTCTCGCCATTTATGAAACCGAGAATGACAAGTGGGATACACTGCCCATCACAGAAGTTACAGTGGAGAAAGTCCGGGACTTCTGTGACGGCTTCTTAAAGGGAACACTGCTGGTGAGTGCAGCCGTGAGATAAAGCACTTGGCACCCTCCTCGGTGTGAATTTCATTTCCGAGCAGGGCGACTTTAAGGAGATAGTTAATGGGACGGTGTTAGCTAGAGACCATCACTTGCAAAAGGTTTGTGTAAGCAAACTCAATTTGGGATTTCTCCATTTTCTATTCAAGGACCGATGGGAAATAACTTAAATCCACACTCCATTCACTAGTGGTACCTTGGTGCCTTAGGCAGGTGGACTGCCACAGTGTGAAGCTACTAGTTTGGGGCACGTAATAAGTTTAAGTCCAGCCAGAGCTGCATAGTGAGACCTCTTCAAAACACAAAAGCCGTATCAACAACAGAAGAGCTCAGCAGTTCAAAGTGAAGCTGGATTTAAAGTTTTTCAGGAGTAATTAAGTCTGCGCTCTAAATTCAGCATCACTGTGTTTTTCAGAGAAATCACACAGCTGAAGAAGATGCCAGGAAGGAGGAGCTCTGAGTGCTCCCTGGTCCCTCTGCTCACTGCGATCACGTGTCTATCCTGTGTTGAATAAAAAGGGGCACCAAATCTAACCTCTCAACAGCTAACGCAGGTGTTCTAACAAGGGGCGGGAGGTCCGCCATGCTTCCTTTGTGTCTGAACGTCTCCTTTTCTTGCCTCTTTTGTTTTCAACTTCCCATCTTCTCCTTCCCACAGCCTAGTTTCCCACTGTGAGTGAGTTCTGAGGAGAGAGGGACTTTAGGAACTTGGCATCTCCCTGAAGGAGAAGCGTTCCTAGAGAGAGGCTCTTCTGGTGTATCACTGACATTGACTTAATACCCTGCACAAGGCTTGCACAGCAGTTCCTATCCCTTTGGGGTCATCCAAGGATAGAAACCTCACCCTCCTCATAAGCACATATCCTTCTCTGACTTGGAGCCAAGAACAAAAAACATGTTTGGTTTTTTTTTTCCCCCTTCAAAAGTTAAATGATGTCTCCAAGTTTCTGAACACATCTGAAACAGCATGTTATAAGCTACATTCATTTTGTGATAGCAGCTCCCTGTGCTAATCAGCAACCCATGAAATAAATAAAATCCAACACTGTTAAAAGAAGAGTAACATCTCTCCAAAGCCACACCCTTTGGAGGGAACCCAGCTGCCCAGCTCAGCGGTGCACGCCCGCCCTCCAGGGCTCTGTTTCCCTTTAGGTCACCCACTGATGTGTTGTTCCCTGTGCGGGTGGGACCCGACCATCCTGCGTGAGGATTTATACAAATGTGGCAAGAGAACCAGGGAGTCAAGTAGGTAAAAGGTTAGGAAGAGACAGAGGGGGCGGGGGCATTTGGCGCCAAAGCATGTTGGGGCTAACCATGGTTCCTGGCAGGAAGGTGTGCGGTCCAGCACACCGGGGATGGGGATACAGGGGTGTTTGACAGTGGGTCGCTGGCCCACAGGCTGTTACTGTCAACACACAGATGCTACATTGTCGCAGCCCTCCCGCCCCCTCCGGGCACTGGCTCTAAAGAAAAGTGCCTAAGTACTAAGGAGCTGAAAAACTCACAGCTGAACAGGAGGACGGCTTCAAGTGAAGGACAAGGAGTGAAAGGGTTGCTTGTTCCTTTCTGTGGGCTAACCCCATGGCCCCTGGGCGTGGTCGGTAGCTGGAAAGAAGACTGTGAAAACCAGTCTTGCAGTTACACAGGAACCAGGAGCTTGAGGGGTCACTGGGTCCGTCCAAGGACCCCACAAAGAAGCACAAGAAGCCCATCTTAGAATGCTTCCGACATTTTGACATTTCCATTCAGGAATTCTTTCTAATGGATGATCCCCTGCCGAGTGACGTTTCCCACCTCTAGGGATGTCTTTTCTTACAACTCTGAAATTTCTAACGCTGCCTTGGCACCATCCCCTAAGGCAGTGATTCTCAACCTTCCAAACGCTGTGACCCTTTAATACAATTTCTCACGATGTAGCTACCCTCAACCATAAAATTAGTTTCATTGCTACTTCATAAATGTAATCTTGCTATTGCTATGAATCATAATGTAAATATCTGATCTCAGGATATCTGATATGTCACCCCTGTGAAAGAGTCTTTCTACACTCTCAATAGAGTTGAGAACCCTAAGGGCACCTTCAACTCCACGTGTTTTTCCTTTTTGGTGCTATTAGGAATTGAACTTGGGGCCTTGGGCAGGCTGGATGAGTGCTCTACCACTTAGTCACACTCTCCGGCCATCTCCTGGTTACTTTTAAGCCCATTCACATGGTCTCCTGTCCTCCATACCACCCAACCTGTTATCATTTTCATTTCCAATGTATTTATCACTTAATCATCTTCCTTCTTCTCCTTTCCTCAATTTTCTCTATTTCTTGCTTAAAATAGTAGTACTTCAAATCTTACTAAAGCTCCAAAATTATATTTAATAATGGGCTGATTTTATCACTTTATCCTAACATACCCTTCCTCACATGCTGATAGCCAACACAGACTCCATAAGTAATAACAAAACGGCAGCTCGTTTTGCCAGTTAATGGCATTTTTTGTTGCAATTTTGTCAGATGTTATCTCATATGCTCATGTTTGTGTATTTGTGGTATTGAAGCAAATTATTTTTATCAGCTCGAGGCTCTTCAGAACTGCCAGGAATTCTCCATATCTTCGTCAGTGCTAATCCTACTCTTTGTAACTTTGAGGTCTCAAGACCAGAGAATGAAATTCCTTGAGAGAAGAGATTTGGGTTATTTCTGTGTCTATTTGAGGCCTTTGTGTTTCCTCCCTGTGTAACCAGTTGGTCTTAAACTCTAGACTTTCCTGCCTCCCAGTGCTGGGATTAAAGGTGTGTGAAACCAGAGTCAGCAGAGGAAGAGCTGGGGCTTACTATAACTTCTGCCACTTCTAGATGCTTCCTTGTCTTTGCTTAACCATTTCCCAAGACTCTATATTCTTTCCCTGAGACGGCGCTCTTGGCGAGGTTTCTAGAAGCCTCTCAGATGTTTTGTGCCATGAATTCATTCATTAGCTCTCATTGGTAAAACCCACCCCTTCTTGGAGACACGAAATGTGCTGTTACCCCTTGGAACTAGGAAGATATTGGCAGATTTAGAGGACAATGATGGGGCCATACACACTGGAAGAACAAAGCAAAATAGGAAAGTTTGGATTTGACTTCTTTCTGGACTTTTGGAGAACCATTTGTTGTTGTTGTTGTTTCTGAAGGTTAATTTAAAGTTTGTTGAAGAAAGGGTGTTTTGAGATTCCAGGGTAATGACACATGTTATGGGAAGCTGCTCATTTGTTCCTGGCTGCTTAGACCTGAAATAATCACTCAGGAACTATATTATTTGCCATACTGTTTGGCCAATAGCTTAAGCGTATTTCTCTCTAGCTCTTACATATAGAATTAACCCATTTCCATTATTTTACATTTTACCGTGAGGTTCGTGACCTACTGTCAAGGTTCCAGCTGGCAACTCGTGTCTTTCCCCTCTGGCAGCTACTCTGCCTTCTTTCTCCCAGCACTTAGTTTAGTTTTGCCCACCCAGCTCTACTCTACCCTATCACAGGCCAAGGCAGATTCTTTATTCATTAACCAATAAAAGCAACATATAGACAAAAGGACCTCCCACACCAGAAACACATCAAGGAAAAGTCTAAAACCCTTGACACCATATTTCTTCTCTACATTACATCATTTCTCCAATTGTCACACTTATGGAAGCAGAGAGGCCTCCCTTACTGAATTCCTTAAATTTCTTAAATTAATGAGACTTCCCAGTAGAAAATTTTGGAGATGACATGGGTATACAAGGGAAGCACTTCCAGCATTTAGGTGGTAACTTGAGCAACAAGGCTGTGTGGGCAAAGCCTTCACTGTGGTTTCCATGAGGAAAATTGGCTAGGAAGGGGGAGGGTAAGAAGCTAGATGAAGAGTATGCCCAGGATCCCAGGTATAGGCACTGTCCTTAGTTGCCTAGACCTTGGCTCTGGGGTGAGTAGGACAACAAAACAGTAGTTAGAGCATAAGATCCCATCAGGAAGGAAGGCAAGGTAAGGACTCTATATGAGTTAGTTTGTGTCTGAAACATGAACAGCAGATGATTTGTTTGATATGTCTAGGAACTAGCCAGCCATGGTTCCCTTGGATTCCATGATCCCAGGCGCCATGCATCTCCTCAGATAAGCACGGAGACTTAAGTAGGAGCTGATCTGTTGAATCAAAGGCAAGAGCTGCTCTCTCAAGGAGGGCAGGACACCTGCCCAGCAGCCAAGTACCTCTGACTCTCTGGCGTTAGGAGAGAGACTTCACAAGTTGAAGGAAAACTTAGGCCAATCTCAAGCACATTATTGTGGAATTCCTTGAAAACTGAGGAGATATTTCTAGGATCAAGAGGAAAAGAAATGGTTTTACCAAACATGGTACTTTCAAAACCAAAATAACAGTTTTGGTAGGTGCATGAGTTCAACCGCAGCAGCCCTGGAATCCACAGGTAACTCCGTGTTAGTCATGGCTCTCTAGCAGATCAGAGCCTCCAGAATGAATCTCTCTCCGTAGAAAGTATTAGAATCACTTACAGGCTATGGACTAACTAATCCAATAGTGGCAGGGCTGTGAATGATAGGTCCACAAGTTTAGAAGTTGCTCAGTCCACAAAGCTGTTCTTCAGTAGACACTGGAATCCTAAAGAAGTAAGCCCTAGATTCTCCCCCATCAGTTAAGAAATGGACTTGTCTTAATAATAAAAACCCAGAGTCAGATATAGGGGATAATCCTGAAAGATCAGAGAAACAGAACAGCTAGTCACTAGCTCTTACCTCTACTGAATCCTCAGACTAAAGGGGCAATCCTGTTCCTGAAAATCCTTAGACTGGATGCCCTGATCTCCTGTCTCCTTCTACCTTACATTCCTCTCTCAGCCCAGCCATATCCCCTCCTGTCTCCACCTCCCCAGTACTGGGATTAAAGGCATGTGATCCCAAGTGCTGGGACTAAAGGTGTGAGTCACCACTGCCTGGTCTCTATGCCTAACTAATGTAGCTGACTCCACTCTCTGATCTTCAGGCAAGCTTCGTTTGTTACAACACAAACAAAGTGTCACCACAAGCCAGGGCAAGAACCAGCAGTCAAAGAACAAAGTCTTTCCTCCATGTCCCTATATACTTCCAGCAAGTGTGGCCCAGATTAAAGGTGAGTCTCCCCACTTCAAGATTCAAGTTAAAGACAGACGTGTGCCTTCCCTACTTGATATCTGGATCATAGGTGTGTAACATCCTACCTCAAAGGTAAGACTAGAAGAGGATTCACCCACTTCAATTCAAGCAAGAAATCTCTCACAAGTGTGCCTTCCATTTCCAGATGTAGTCAAGTTGACAACCAAGGATAGTCATCACACTCTCCCAAAGATAAGAGCACAGTACAACAGGAGGACATTAGAAAGGGCTTAGTATACTCTACAACACATGGGCACAGGAGACCACTTCCTACGTATAACCCCAGCAACACAGACATTAAGGG